TCAAGTGCATGTAAAAATACTCGGATACATCAAACGCAACCTTTCCGATCATCTCAGACAGTCAAACTAACCGCATACAAAGCATTTGCGTGATCCAAACTCGAATACGCCAACATCATCTGGTGGCCTCATTAAGCATACGTTCTTAACAAGCTTGAATCTGTTCAAAGCAAGGCATCACGCTACATCATGCATGACTATTCACGAACCTCGAGTATCACTAATATTAAAACCAGCCTGGAGTTGAAACCTCTAACCGTTAGAACCAAACTAGCCCGTCTTGTTTTCCTTCATGGCATCTACTACTCATCATCGGAATTTCGTAGCCTCTATCTCCAAGATCCATCTTACATTTCAAAGCGTAGCGATCATCCACTCAAAATTCAACCTCTCTTCTCCAGAACTAACAAATATCAAAATTCCGCCCTTTTACTTGCGATTGCCGACTGGAATTCCTTACCCGCTCACATCGTCCATGAAACTAATACCAATAAATTTCGCGACATTTGTAATTCTCATTTGTAAAGTGTGATCAATTAATGATTTTTTGTTTGTTTTGCCGTTTACTTTTATTATTGTTCGTTGAATGTTGTATTTATTCCCCCCTCATGTAATGTATCCCAATGGATACCTTTGAGGAAAATAAATCTGATCTTATCTGATCTTAGAGCGGGCCGAAATCTCCGCCTACATTGCGCCTAACAGCGGAAATATTAAAAGAAAAAACAAACTTCAATGAAAAATTTTAAGACAAAAATATTAAACCATTTAAAAAAGTTTTTTTTTTTTCACTTTAGTGTACCAAAGTTGAATGGTTGCATTTTATTTTTTCACTTCAGTGTCTTTTCAAGGCTGAAACACCCTGCAGTGAGGCCAACTTTCGAAACCACCCCTTTGCCCATTCAGCTGTACGTATGCGTGTTTAAGAACTTCCACAAAACACAGAACAAAAAAAGTTAAAACATTGATTATGCGCACACAAAGTTAACATCTTCTCCAGGGATATAACAAAAAATATTAATAATGATGGCCTTTTTTAATAACGGGGGCTTTTTAATTAGTTCTAGATTTACTTTATAATGAAAGTAAACAATTTTTATAAATTATTTTATGAAATAAATTGAAGAAAAGTGGTACCAGTCGTAAGCACATGTATAGGCCTAGAAGTTTATACTATTCAATAAGCAAGATGTAAGGTGAATCCTAAGATACAACGCTTCAAATATGTCAACGAGAACTCAAAGATGGATTTTTTTTTCTGGCTTGGAATATGCCAGATTTATATAGTTTAAAGCAAAGAGTAGGCCACATAATCATACATTAAAAAGAAAAATTACTATCAGTATTTTAATTTTGACTTATTTATAACAACCGACAGAACCGGGTACAAAAATCAAGAAGCCTAAACGTAGCATTTCACCATGCTCAATTTCATAATTTTTCTACGAAGTATTAAACAAAATGTCTCGTTCATTGCTGAAATGGGGCTATAATATCCGTATAATTTCAGGCAGATCAAAATAGCCACCCCCAGAGCCTGCCCACCCCTACACGCGTGTTCCATTGCAAATGAAACCATGCAACCGTCTTTATCTCCCTTGCACTCGTCGAGCGCGTTCGAATGCGAGAGCCAGACGACGGACGCCGGTGTTTCGAGCTCTAACGCATTCGACGAGTGCAGGGGTGACAAAGATTGCTAGCTTTAGGTCTACCCACTAATCAGTCCAACTAGAGCTCGGCGTTCCGACGTCCCCGCGCGTTTGTGCCTCCCCTCTCCTCTTCTCCAGAGCCGTATATGTAGAGAGTTTGGTCAATGGGAGGCGCGGGCAGGGTCAGGGCGTGCGGCAGACTCGGAAAGAGGGCTTGGCATGCTCTCTTGACCAACCAGAAGCCGAAAAGAATCCCCTAGCGGTGGTAGCCAGAAACAAGCCTGATCAAAGGTCTATGTTCGTATATGGTTTTAAATAGGCGCGTAAGAGTGAAGTGTAGTAACTCTTCGTGGTTGAAAATAGGGTGCACGTGTTCTTTTGATCATGATCATGCAGAAAGATGTAAGAAACGAATGCGCCGCTCAACTCTGTTTTGCGCGGACAGAGTGTGACCGCTCGGACGGCAGATTCCCGGCCCTCGGCGCTTGGCGTACACATTATGTCGATCGTTTCGCTAGTCGCACTCTTCCACCATCAATTTGGATGAGCGTGATTGAAACATCACGTGTACCATATTTTCAGCCATCGAGAGTTACTCCAATGCAGTTATCAGGTTCGTTTCTCGCGACCACCGCCAGGGTATTATTCCCGGCTTCTGGTTGGTCACATTCAAATTTCTGAAGACGCACTGGAACACGCCCAGCCCGCTTTCGGCCAATGGCGCCTCCTTATTTGTCTCCTATACTTCCCAACGAATGGCCAAACTCTTTACATATACGGCTCTGCTCCTCTCCATCAGTTTCTCGGCGCGTATACTCGACAAATCAAAGACAATCAATCGCAGTTGACATCATCCGCAGTTACGAATGTTACAAGTACGTTGGTTTGTTCTCGACAATATTTTACGTAATGCTTAATAGATATCTAAGTTCAAAAAATGTATCTCCTGGTCAAAAGCATTAGAAAATAATTATTCGACATTGTCGCTAAAGTAACCTCCGCTAAAATTGTTTTTGAAGGGCGAACACCCTTCAAGGATAGTGTTCGTCTCTCTCCGAAGTAGCACCCTTTTCCATATCTTTTCATGCTTTTCAAAAATTGACGAGTGCTTCATGCAACATCATTTTATTTTATAATTAAAGAGGACGTTTTACTCGAAAGAAGATTTCCGAAAACGTTTCGCCATGGGCGGTACGTCTCGGGAACGCCATATATTCACCCTTAATTAAGGATGCGAAATGTTTTAGTGTGCGCATATACTTTCACTGTCACCCCAGCGGGTGACAGCCAGTTTCCCTCTGTAACCTGAATGGAAGTTTCGTTTTTTGGTATTTCGGTACCTTCAATTGATATCTCCCTGCTTTTCAGCTATCAAAAAAAAAGAGATAAACTTGGTAAGGTCAAAACTATAAAATGATATATGCATTTCTGGTCTGTATATGTTTAACTTGATATTTTTTGTGTAGAGTGGTAAAGTTTTGATGTGTGTATGTGTGTGTTTCTGTGTACGTGTGTGTTTGTGTTTACGTGTGTGTTTGTGTGTTCCTTGTTCGTCTCTGTTGGGACGCACCACATAGAAGGCATGATGTTGCTGAGCACCAATAAATAAACATAAAGTTAAGTTGAAGCTGGTAGAGAAAACATAGATAGAAACCTTTTGCAAAAAAATACTTTGCTAAGAGGCACAGTTTTTTAAGGTTTTAGCTTCTTCAATATGTATTCACACAGCAGAAATCCCAAGAAGCTACGTCTTTTAACCAAGCATCGACTGTCACTCCAAGCCTTCTAAAGTTTTTTTTTTAGTCCAGTACTTTTTTAAGCACAGTATTTTTAAAGCGAGCGGCGTTCACTCTTTGGGGCACAGCCATATTTCCCCGCATCCCTACAGAGCCAGTCACGTGATTTCAAAATCCCACTCCTAGGTACTGCGGCTAACTTTTGCTGCGGTTAGCGTTTCGAGCAAACGGGCCCAGAAGTGTCTTGTGACTTTATAGTGGCAACCAAACGGAGCCCGGCGTGGTTCGGTTTCCCTTGACTGTACCGGAATTAGACAACCCCAACGCATTCATGGAGTCAAAGGACTTCAATTAACTTCACCGACTGTTTTCAAGATGGCGGCGTTTACGGCGTCAAAACGAACGACCAGCGGTAATAAAATTGTTTCGGAATGCCGTCGGAGGAATCTCGACAACTTCTAGCAGCAAATATTGTGGAAAGGGACGTGTTCAAAGGCCAGTGCGGCTGTTAGACAGGCCTACGGGGCAGGAAACGAGGAAAAAAGCCCGCAAGCGGCAAGGACGCGCCAAAAAGATGTTTTCGTTTTGTTTGTAAGCTTGTTGGCACGTGCGTGTTTTCTCACAGATGCCAGTCAGCGCCTACAACGCCAGTTTTTCTCGAGTTTGCTCGTGTCCTTGCGTCAAGCGGTGTACCCTTTCTAATAGCGAGTTTTAGTGTATCGTTCCGATACCTCCGATACCCTCGATAACGATACCCAATAACGTTTTTTTTTTCTTTACATTTTTTTTTATACCCGATAATAATGCTATGCATGCGCGGAAGCGGCGGCGGAGTATCGGGTGTCGTTATCAGAGGCATCGGAACAATTTCCTAAAACTCTCTATTGAGTCAGGCTACTCATTGCGCTCCTATAGTTTGTTGATTTAAGAGCTATGGATGACATGGTCAGTTGGCGCCCGGTTGAAGGCGTAGACTCCAACGTCGCTGTCAGCTTAACAAAGGCAGGGCGCGGGGAGTCGAGCACCTTATTATATCTCCGTGAGTTTGCGACAGTATACGACAAGAACGCTCAACCACCAATGAAGACGTTTCAACAGTATAAGCAACGCCCTGCGTTGCTGGCAGGGACTCCAACTTTAACACTGCAAACGCCGGTACGCCATGACTTTTTTTTTTTTTTTTTTTGCTGTGAAGACTATATGAATGAAGCAGTACTTTTCGATTCAAACCACTATTCACACATCTCTATTGAAAACTCCGTCATTTCATTCCTAAATCCTCCAGTAGACACCGTAAATATGTCGCTACTTGCAAGAGGCACGAACCGTGCCTTGAAGCCGCGGTCAAACCGGTAATGCATCAAAGAAAAGACTGTATCAAGACAGTGTCTGAGGCAGGTGTTTTCCAGGTGCGATGGTCCTGTCACTTTGGCCATAGAAAACCTTTGCACACATACTCAAATGACGCATCTAAGAAGCAATCATGCTTCAAACTTGCGTGAGGCCTGTCCGCAGACATTTCTGTCATCATGTCTGCAACGGACACACTGTCTTTCGCATGACGTATCACCAGCGTGGCCGCGGCTTGAGCGTTACATGGAGTTGGTGAACTCACGACGTTGGCTTTCTCTCGCTCGGTGAGCGTGGGCAGACGCAAGTCCGCGCTCATGGTGAGGGCCTCCTGAACCGTGAGCACGGGTAGCAGACGGTCCTCCTGCATGACGTAGCAGCTCTGCCGGTTGAAGAGTTGCCGATCCCGCACGTAACCGTTCACTTGAACCTCGCCCTCGTAACTGTCGTCACTGTTGAACATGAAAGGAGGGATGGGAATAAGCCGAGAGTGAGAGGCAGTTGTAAAGTGTGCTGTAAGCAACCCACAGAGCAGAGTCATAGGGCTGAATTGCCTGCGCTCACCTATGGTCAGTGACAGTTTACGAGGCGCAGGTTATACGGCTTATTACGTTTGCGCTTCCCACTTCCCGATTCGTTCTTTGGCGTCTCATGTCGCGGTCTCATTGGATTGGCTTCGGAACAAAAATAAACTGGTAAAGACTTTCCACGCCCAGCGTTCCTTAAGCTGTTAGTGACGATAAAAGTACTGCGAGGGGTTGGGGAACAGTACGTTTGTAAATTGCAGAAAATGCTGACATCGTCATCTCTTTCCTGCCTATCCCGACGACGTTGAGAGTCCTTTCTGACGCACGAAGTTTGCGGGCGGCTTCATCCTCGAATTGATTTTTTTTCAAGTTAAATAATTAATGTCTGTTTTAACCTATCCACGTCATCATAGCTCAAACTTATATCAGCATACGCGAACAATTACACCTATCAATCGTCTAAAGCCTGGTCAGCTCGTTTTAACCGTTGTCATGGTCATCTTCATTACCAAAATAAAGATTACCATTCGGGCATCGCTGTGTGTACGACACAGCGATGCCCGATTGGTAATCTGCACCTTGTTTGAGTAATAACTTGGCAAAGAGCGAACTCTACGGGTACTCGGGGGATCGGTGGGTTAATACGTTAACCCAGCGCGGCCCGGAGCACGTAGTGCGACAGCTCGCACTGCAGAACCCAGGGAACTGGATTAAGACCTAATCAATGTTCGTTTGAATTTGTATAAGCGTACATCGTGTATCGTGATGCACGTTGAAAACACTAGGCAAGCAGCGGTAGTATTGCGACATGCGAAATTGTATGGGCGAGCTGGTTGGGAGACATTAGTATCTAAACCCTGAGTCACGGAGGAAATAAAATAATAAACAAGACGACGCAAAATCTCAAGTGGCTAAATCTTTCATCTACGGCAGGGACCCCAGAAGCCCGTTGAGGCTGGCTACCTTCCCGCTGGCATATGTTTTTATTCTAGAACCTACGGAATCACGATTTTTAAAACGGTAGATTTGTGAAACTTCTCAAAAGAGTGGATTCCGACGGTATATGCGCTACCACGTACCTCGTTTCAACGCATTGATTGGCTGGCCGAGGCCAATCCCAGCGTCGCCCCTTCTCTATCACCCACCGCGACAGCACTCGCAATGTGATCATGCAGGTTGTGCTCTGCACTCACTAGAACCCCGTGAGGATGTTGAGCAGCGTCGTCTTCCCGGCGCCAGAGGAACCCATGATGGCTGTCAGCGTTCCGGGCCGAGCCACCCCGCTCAGGTTGCTCACCAGGGATTTCCGCTCTGTCAAATCGGCAGAGACTGACCATCATGCCACCGTAATGGCAAGGTACGCGCATGCGTCCGCTTCACGGACAACCAAAGGTCTCGCTCGCGCTAAAGGCCTTTACATACATGGGTCTCAACGACGTCTGACAATGACCTTCACGCCATATAACGTTCACTCTTAGGGAGGTCAGCGAAACTCCTTCAGCTTTTCAGATACCCTCCATTCTTTGCTTACGCGAATGAGTGACAGCATGTTATTATTTTGTCAGATAATTGCTTGCCTTGGTAGAGTTTATTTGCCTTTGTTCATTAACATCGACATTAGTTATTGTGCATCGAGCACATCATCAAACAAAATACAAATCTACCTAAATCTTTTTTCTCCTGCCTGTATACATGTATTATGGCACCTATGAATCATTTCTCCGCTATATTTTGTTATTGTTGTCGTTCGCCTTGAGTTGTTGGCGCATACCCAATTGTGAGATTGGCCGAGGATTGATGTTATATTAAGAAAACTTAGACACAAACAACGTAATCGACGGTGAGGTTGTCGCCTTGATGTCGAAATGGGGCGTTGGCTCAAGCGAAGTGCGCTTTAAATCAAATGAAATACGCACCAGAGAAGCTTTCTGTTCGTTCTGAGGAGACGCAAAAACAGCCATTTTACTTTCCGCGTGTCGTTGCCCGCGTCCGAGGTATGGACCACTCGCCCTTCTGGAACGCCTCGGCTCAACTGAATCATTCAAATAATATTATGTGAATTATAGAATTAGAAATTATTACGGTGTTGCTGACATTAAAATATATTTCTTTGTCCGCCAATATTTATATCTTCACTACAGAGCAAATGGATTAATATTATTTAAGTGCTGGTTGTAAACGCTTTGCAGCAGCAGGAAGTTGAAGGATGTTTACAAATCGCCGAGGCCTTCGGTCAAAAGGCCATATAAATGCTCATAAAACAAGAGCATGGACATGATTATTGTTTCGTAGGCACTCAGTAAGAACTCAAAACTTAATAATTATACAAAAAGCGTCAAGGGGTATGCTGCGGGCCATATTTCAGTGCATCTTTCTTGATCTTTGACGAAGTTGGCTTGCCCCCGGACTTCACAAACTCTGATCCTACACTTTGAACAGGGCGAACAGCGTCTGAAACGAGTAAACCGGAAAACCGTCTGTGCCAAAAAGTAAGATGCTGACCTGTGTGGTAGAGCTCAGCACGACGTCTCATACTTCACTCTAAGAAAAAAGGGTGTAGTGGGTACACCCACAGGGGGTGTAAGTGCTGCCACATATACTACACCCATAAAGGTGTACAAGTACACCTCAAAACGAGGTGCATATATACACCCTCTCTGGGGGAGCATATGTCATCACCAAAGCTCGGTGAGGACCTCAAATATTTAAGTAATGGTAGTGGTTGTTTTCCTTTTTTTTTTAAGGGGAGGGGGGGGGGGGGGGGGCTTCGAATTTTCTTGCACAACATGGCTCTCCATCCGCCGGGTCTAAGAGAGCCCTTTCTAAAATATTCAATGTCAAGCGCTATACTCCGTGTCACTAGTTGTGTGATGTGCAGGCGAAGTCAACGCCAGGCGAAGAGAGAAAGGGCGAGCACTAGGAAGGTGGGACAAGAAAGGATGGCAATGAAGGGCGAGGGGAGAAAGTGAGAGCACTGGGAAAGTTAGAGAGGGAAGGAGGTTTCTCTCCTCCTTCCCAGCCTTTTTAGTGTTTTGCACTTTCTCCCCTCGCCTGGCGTCGCCTTCGCCTGTACTGCGCGCAACTAATGACGCGGAGTATAGAGTAGAGAGCAGGAGTGTTAGAACAAGGCTTAACGAGTTTTGCGGGGAGAACGCTAAGACGAACCATAAGGCATAAGACGCTTGGAGTACTAGCGCGGGTGTAACGAAAGTCACCTGAATGGTTTCAGTGCCGCGACAAGGTGTGCAAGTTTTCTTTAAACCAACATATTTTTGGCGTTTCGGTTGTTACAGAACTTACGATTGTAAGATAGTATTACTTTTTCTTAAATAAAATGATACTATAGCTAAATCGCGCTTTGTTGTGCATATTTGTTGGTGCACAAAGCCAATTCGTTTAGTTGAGAATTTGTCTTTTTTAGCTTGTGGGTAATTATGACAACAAGGAATCATCCATGCTAGAAGATCCACACTCCGACTATTTTGTTTCTTTTATCTAGAAGGCTTTGAATGATACCTTGCTTCTGAAACTATTATTTGATTCCAGACAACGAAAATAATGTGCCTAATTGTTACACGTAACCAATGAGGTAGTGTAGTTTCCTTAAAAAAAGGAACCGGTCAAGCAGATATAATCGGCTTATCACGCGGCCATTCAGTACTTCTTAAAAACTAAACGGAGCAAGCTGATAAGGCATTGACCACGACGCACCTTTGCCGATTTTTGTGTGAAATGTAAGATTTTTCCATTCCACGCTGATCCCATCAATGCGTAAATTGCCATTATGATTAGCCTCGAAGTGTCCGTTGGAGGTAGAGGTGTCGACTACAACTGTAAGAATAAGGAAAGAAAAAGCTGGGTTACTAAATCTGCAAGAACTGTAAAAACGTTTTTAAGAACCTAGCAGAAAACACTCTAAATACAAATTCCCGTTTTTTTTTCTTTGGTCAGGTCAGTTAATGTGAAGCAATGATTGACATCATAATCTAATGTTAACGCCGTTTCTGTGTCAAAAAGAGTAAACGCCTTACTAACCACGTACACTGCAATGCATTACGTTAGGCGTACTGCTTTGTGTTGTACACCAATCATTGTAGCCGCAGTCACACTGCTGTAAACGTGAACACCGGCTACGCTCCAAGCAAACTGGCTCGTTTTATACCACGTTGTTTACCACAGTCTTGTGTATAGTGCCTCGTAATTCGTGCCACCTGTGCAGTCCCGGCCGGGGTTAGCTAGACAGTGGCATTCCATACGACCTTTGCCTTCGATTTAGAAACAATGGGAGCTCTTCTACAGCGTGGGGGCGCAACAACGCCCCCACGCGATTTAAAAGAAAAGTCAGAAAAAACAATCTTCGGTTTTACCATTCATACGACAGGCAAGGTCAAAGATGAAGCAGTCATTACCAGGTATGACGTATGCTGATGATGTAGCGCTAATGGCCGATAGCAACATAGGGCTTCAGACACTAATGATTTGCGCAGAGTGCCACAGGTTAGGCTTAGAATTCAGTAGTGACAATTCAGCGGTCATGACGTTCAATGATGACGGAATCGCAGAGCTAAAGATACAAGGATGAGGGGTCGAGCCAGTTGATGAATACAAGTTTCTGGGTTCGCCACCCTTCGGTTTTAGTTTATGTGCTTCTGCAGCTCATTGTGCTCCCATGCACGGTTCAATTTAGTAGAGTGGAGCGTTTTTTTTCTTTCGTAAAACGTGATTTATTGAAGTTTACCGCAAAATAACAATAAAGTTAAGAATATTAGAGAACTTCCAAAATTGAAAGCGAAGGCAATCGCAGAGAATTCACAAAGTTGCTAAGTTCGCACCAGAGTACGAGATGTGTGTATGCGTGTGGTACCAGTGAAATCGGGAAAGAGTGTTGGCTCTCGGATAACATTGATCTTTAAGCGCAACAGATATGGGTATAAAGTCGCAGTCACCCTGCTCCTGTATGATACGAAAGAGGCGGCGCGGCGTTCGCTGCATGCATGATGAAAGCATTATCTACGGATAAGCCTCAAGCATTGTTCGAATCATGTTTCCCTCACGCGTATGTATGCTTCGAACATGTCCGCAGAACTTTTTTGTATGACCAGTCTGACAGGGCCGCCATACTGCACTTTAAAAAAAAAAGGGTGTATTGCTACACCCTTTGTCCTATATAATACACCCCAAAATTTTAATTGGACGTACAGCGCCCTACAGTTGAACAGGCAGCCCGAAATTTTACGAGGGGCTTGATAGCCGTGTGGTACAACTTATTAAAATAGCTAATGTACGTGTTACTGACTAAAAAAAAAATAATCGGGGTTTTCTAGACACTACCGCAAAAAAAAAAAAAAAAAAAAAAACAACTCGGTGTTCTTTTTATGTAGTCTTTGATACGAAGTTTAGCTATTCAGTAAGTTATATCGGACCGTTATCAAGCCCCTCGTAAAATTTGGGGCCGTCTGTTCGACTATAGGGCTCAGTACGTCGAAATGAAGCTTTGGGGTGTATTATATGGGACAAAGGTTGTAACGATACAGCCCTTTTTCTTGAGAGTGTGGAAGGAAACGCGCTTCACATGGTGTCTGCAGACTGTCTTTTGTAAGATTCAGTAGCAGCGTGACCGCGGCTTAAGCACACCCCTCGCCGCAGCGTCCTGGTAAGACGGTATCCTGGGATTCGCGATGATATGATGTCACGAGTACTGTGGTCAGTGACAGCCTCAAAAGCGCAGGGCGTGGTATACCATGTTCACGCCCCTACCTTTTCAATCCGTTTGTCTGCGTTCTTATCGGCGAATGCAGCAATATCATTGGCTGGAGAGAGATAATGCGGAGCGCGAGTTCCTCTGCTACTTTTGCAGGGGTTGCGGTGACGTCAGAACACCGAGCTCTGATTGGCTCTGGTTGAAGGATACTGGATAGACCTTAAGGCTGCTTGCTTTAAGGTCTACCCACTATCCTTCAATCAAAGCCAATCAGAGCTCGGCGTTCTGACGTCACCAGAACTTCTGAAAAAGAAGCAGACGAACTTGCGCTCCGTATAAGATGCTTCAAGGCCTGCGTTTCTAAACTGTCATTTTCAGAAACGCAGAATCATGGCAATCGACAACAATGCCGAAACACATGTTGTACTCGCGCATAGCCTCTGATGGAAATATAATGAATCGCAACACTCTCCTATCCTAGTACGCGCGACTGCAGCATGAGCTCACCTTTGACGTTCCGCATGTTCGGTTCTAAGGACACCTCGCCGAGGCGCTCGCTTTCTCCGAGGCATCCGTTCTCAACCATGGGTGAAACAGACCGACACGCGAAGGGTTGGCACCTTGGCGAACGTTCAGCGTGCACTCTCTCAACGCAACTGCGCACCACACCCGCTCAATCTTTTCGAGTTCTCTCTCCCACTCCCTCGCTTAACGATTCCCCTTCTCATTCTCCTTTTATTTTTTTCCTCGACCGAAAGTAAATAATGCGGGATAGTCGATGCGTCGCTGCGATGAATGTGACAGTGGACTGGTTTTTCTGACGTCATGCGCCTCATGCCCGAGGCGGGCTGTCGAGTTCGACGCCTCTGACCTCGCCAACTGGTTCCGGTGGCTTCGGTAAACACCCTGGCCGTGGCGCCACGGCCGCCAAAGGGGGAAGGGACTTTTTCGGTCGGTGAATGTGGAAGCGGTGACCTTCAACGTGCGTGTGGGGGTGATAATTAAGAACGCGTTGCGGACAGCCCCAAACTTGTTGATCGAACTATATGTGTTCTTCCGGGTAAAACACACGGGGATAAACTTCATTTTTTGTTTCGTCTTTTATGACTAGCTGCTTTTTTGGCAAACTGTCGCTCACAGGAAGCTCCCTTTCACTTGCCATCTTCGTAAGGCGAAAAACTAAAGCAAGAATTCCATGCACCTCGCACAGCTGTTTTAAACTGACCGGTATTTCCATCGAATTTCGGTGGAGAGCGCGATCGTGATAACGTTTCGAGCGCGCGTAAAAGAGCGTTTTTTTATTCGAAGGTGAAGCGATTTAATGCCGGCCAAAAGGTTCACCACGCGGGAGCGCAGAGTGCCGCCGAACCTTATCATACAAATTTTATTATGACATCACACACAGCCACGGTCACCTAGAAACACACAACAAGAAAGGCAGATGAGTTAGGTTTTCTTCTTTCTGTTGTTGTTTGACGGTCCTGTCACATTAGTCATAAAAAAATGCCTGAAGACATGTTGAAAAGGTATATATATGTGAAAAAAAAAAACACCCTTCGATGATGATTGATGTCCGTTCGCAGATAATTATATCACCACGATTGCAGTGAAAATCGTGCATTTTGTATGACGTATTATGTTTATAAGCCGCTGGCCCACTGTTCATGCACGATACAGAATGTTGGGAAGTGATGATGCAGCAACAGAGTAATTACTGACAGCGACGTGATGGCACGAGCAAGGCCAGCACCGCTCGCACGTGTCAGTGTTTCTTTCCATGTCTGTTTTCTTCTTCTTTATTCAAGCCTTTTTTTTTCGACATCTTGTAAACCCTGAGATGGGGAACGATAAAAAAACGGACGAACACAACAAAATCTCAACGCAGCTCCGAAGAACATTGTTGTGTTCGTCCGTTTTTTTATCGTTCCCCATCTCAAGGTTTACAAGATGTCGATTGATTACCAGCTCGCCTGCACTCTCTCACTGCTTTTTTTTTTTCTTTATTCAAGCCCTCCTTCTCTGACAATAAACCTCAGTTGTAATCATGGAGCTCCGGACTTGGAGCGAAAATAAAGGTTTTCTCTCTCTCTCTCTCTCTCTCAGTTGTAATCGTGCTGCCGCACGGTTCGGTCGTGTCCACTTTGTAGCAGTGGCGACGAGAAAGAAATATGAACCCACAAACTGCTGGTGCTTCGTCGAGTGCCGATAGTACGCAGATAGACACCTCTAACAGAACCGCCGTCAGCATGACCTACGTGGTTCCCCACGTGCAGATATTGGGTACAGTGCCCGTAACAGTTATTCCATATTTCAATACCGATTTTCCTAAGGAATTATACATCATTCTAAGTACAGAACGGGGAACTATATCTTGAATATGAAAAATATGTGCCGTCAGTATTCTCAATTTCTTGCATACCTATTCTACATGAATTTCCCATTTAAGATGATGATCGATGTACATTCCAAGGTATTTCGCATTGTCGATGTATTCTAGTTCCGGGCAAAAACAGTTGTTACAGTTATTCTCGTGCATTCTTATTGGTATTTCAGTTTGTATTTGTTTCTTTGGGTCTAGGAAGAACATTAGTTGAGTTTTGGGAAGTAGGACCGGGGCTGCAAATATTCGTGGCGTCTTCGCTCTGCATAATTTTTTACACGCGGCACTCCGACCTTTGTGGTGCAGCGATGTTTCGTTTATATCGACACCGCCGTACCCCCGGAGAAAAGCGCCCATAATGTGAGTGTGAATTAATGACGAGATAAAAATGTGTGTATCTAACCAGTTCATTATCAGGAATGTTGCTTATATTTGTGTTAACGGTGTCCTTTTTATTGCATACGGACTTTTCGCACTTGTGATGTATGGCGGCTTTCATGAGCCGAAATGAATGAAGTTATGATATAGATATCGATCAAGGTCTTGCACTTAGAAAATGTCTACAAGTTTACCCTCTTAGAAATAACCCTGTATTTTGTGTTTTTGTAATTTTTAATCTTTTTTTTATTTACGCGAGTCGTAAATTTCTCGCCGCACTGAGTATGCCAGTCCGGAAAGGACTGTATGTCGGTCGAAAATCAAATAATCAATAAATAAATGTTGCGTTTAGCTTTCAATGGTACACACACGCATTTGTTGAAAAGCTTAATGCACAGAGACCCGCCAAAAAAACAATCGTCTAACAGAACCAATGTACAAATCAGCATCAAGGACGCCACTTTGTTTCCACGCGTGTAGCGTCATGGCCTTTCCATAGGAAACTGGGCACGAGCCACCACAATTGCCCTTTCTAACTCTCTCCAATATTCGTACTATCCTTTCTTTCAAACCTAAGCTGACAGTGTGGTGGAAACTACGCGTTCCCCGGACCAATCAGCCGCCTTCATTTCGTCACCTGACCCCGCTCTCAGCGGAAGGGTGATGATATGATCTCTATGGGGGGTGGGCCGGAGCGTGTCCCCTTGGCAAACGACAGACAGATTCAATTGGCACCTAGCTTCCGCCGCATTATTGGCTTCGGGGTGAACGAAGTATCGACACCGTGTCACTCGAAGTCGATAGAAAAAAAAGAAAAAAAAAAAAAAAACGAACACGGGATACTTGAAAGAGCAACGAATCACGCGAAGGTTTCATTTATCTTGCCCTGTCAAGCTCGGGTAAAAATAAAGCGGCGGGTTTTTCTTCTTCCTTCTTCTGAGTCACATAAATAAATGAGTCTATACTAGCGTTGACCTATACGCATGTGGTGGTTCCACGTGACGTGTTTCCGGCTCAAGGCTTCGTCGAAATCGACCTTCGCCCCTAAGAGTTTCTTTGCACGGGCGCGGAATTTCCTAGCTCGCTCGAGTTCTTTTTCATCTTGATCGACTGCGCCAGTCTCAGCAGGTGGTAACGGAAAGGAGCATCAGTTGTTACTCTTTGTGTATGGAGCATTGACCTCGTAAGTAATGACGTCACAACATGGCATCGTGTTCCAAACAAACCGTTGCTTGGGCCGTTTGGGACAGATGCATGGGGGCTCGACGCAAGGTTAGAACTTGTCTAGTAAAAAAAGTAAACAAACATTTTCTAGTTTTTTTTTTAATTTTCAGTTTATCTATTGAAAATTTAGAAGGCTAGACTCACCATCGCTCCTCATGCAAACGAATGGAATTACGACTAATGTGCATAACCAAAGCTCCTGCTTGAAATTTCGTTTTTATTGCTACAAACCGAATTTAGGATTTGTGTGAATAATTTTTTACAGCCTTTGATAGGACAAACCACAAGGCACCATAATCAAAACTCATTAACACCAATCTTTGCTAACAACCCATCGTTTAAATATTTTTTTTTTCTCAGGACCGTGACTGACTGGAGCGGTTTATTCTAGAGCATTTTTGAGAGATGTTTTCTGCGAGGCTGTTGCTGATTGTTATTCTTGAGTATTGTTATATATTTACAAATAAGCTAATTTCAAAATCGAATAGGGTTAAGTACTTGCGCTCTATATTTTTACTTTGTATACTGATTCTAAAAGAAAAAAAAAACCTTTTGTATCTGTATCTGTATTTCTGCGTGCGAATATGATTCGGCCTTTTGTTCTGTTAATTAATTTGGTGTTAAAGTGACTTCATTTGTGTGTACTGTTTTCTTCTCCACTCCTGCTTGGGCCAACCATTGACTTGTAGTAAGTTCGAAATAAATAAATTACATGATTATTTTTTGTAAGCATTGCGCTTTCTCGCTTTCTTATCATGCGGACTTCTTTTAATCGTGTTAGGGTCGTATATCGACGACAAACACCCGTAATAAAGTTTTAAAACACGCTTTTGGCAAGCAGACAACACGATGGCTTCGCGGGTCCAGTGCTTCTTTATGATGGAGCGCGTGACTGTGTTGTATAAAGTCGGTGACGAGCGACGACATTTCTATTTTAGGGGACAACCTTCTGTGTGATTTCGAAAGCGGAGAGTCTTTTTTTGTATGTTGGAATAAAACGTTCTGCGATTAACTTGGGTCTTGGGTCTCGATATAGTAACACCTAAAAAAGGATAGTCCAGAAATGCTGCAAACATTAAATCACATTCTGGTGTACCTGGAGTTAGAAAGTCAATTGATTGGCTGCCGTGTTGGTTGAGGTTTCTTCCCCCCTGTCTATCACCCCCCAACGCACAAGAGCGTGTCAGTTTTTTTGAAACTGGGGCCCGCGTACATGCCGCAAGAAGTAAGGTTTTTTTTTCTGTCCCCTAGGAAAGAAAAGCTAATAAAAAACAATATTGCAGATATACCGAAATGCCACATGTCACTTTTTTTTTAAAAATCAGGCAGGGGTTTATGGCGGTGAATTCCCCCCCCCCCCCCCGCCACCCCCCATGTCTTACTTCGCGTAAAGGCAATGTGTTCCGATTAACTGCTTTTCTGTTGTAGCCGATGACGCCAGCTGGCGCAGTCGGCAACATTAAAAGCTACGGATATAATTAAAATTTTAAATATCGGCTCTTATATATGCCTCGCATGCGACGCCATTTGGTACCGTACCCTTCTCCTGCGCCCGTCCTTTCTGCAGCATACATTTGGCACCATAGAATTTGTTCTTGCCAAGC